GATTCGGTGTGGTATTTAAAACTCACTGCATCCTGCCTCAGAGGGGCTGTAACCACCTTCCCACCTCGCCAGCCAGGCAGTCTGAACCGTTTCCTGACTTTGCCTTAATCTCTCATTAAAAATAAAACTTTGAGGCTTGTCAGTCTTGCTGCAGTGAAAAGTCAGAAGCGGTTACATACACTTGTCCTGTCGGCTGTTTGTTTGGCACGACGGTGGTACACGGAAACGAGTCTGCTGTCACAGTTGTTCGGGTAGAGCAGTGTCCAGCTGGCCTTATTTTATGAGCAGAGAGAGCCGACACGTGGGCAAGCAGTGGCGAGTTTGGGATGGGTAAGTGGATATAAACCAGCTCCACTCTGGCGCGGTTCCCAGAGCCGGTGGGAAGTCCTTTCGCATTTATCGCTGGTGTGGGTCAGCCATGCAGCTGACTCCCCGCAAAGCCGGGAGGCTGGGATGTGCTGTGTTTGCTGGCACGCTGCTTTTCTTCCTTCCCGCGTGCTTCTGCAGGGTTAGCAGCACTAGCATTGCTTTGAAGAGCTGTGCTGCAGGAAGAAAAAAAAAAAAAAAAAAAAAAAGAAAAAATCTCTTTTGGGGACCTCTCAGCTAACCTACTGGCTGTACTTTGAGCTCAGATAAGCAACGGACCACTTTTTGAAGCGCCGCTTGTTGGATTGCAGCCGGTTGCTGACTTGGAGGAGAAGCACCGAGGAGTGCCGAAAGCTTTCCGCTGCTGCGGGCCAGCACTGTGCAGCTGGAGCTGTGGAAAGGGCGAGGAGGCAGCCTCCAGCCCAGGTTTCTGATTCCTCTTTACCTCCAAGTTTTGGGTCTGTTCTGCGTGAATGGTAGATGAGCGACTTGATCTAGTAGAAGGGGTCCCTGCCCGGGGCAGGGGCGTTGGAACTAGATGATCTTTAAGGTCCCTTCCAACCCAAACCATTTGATGGGGGCTGCACCAAGGCAGGGGATCCTTTCTAAATCGCAGTCCGGCCCTAGGGGCGTAGCGATAGGGGAGCAATCGATGCGGAACAACCCCTTGCAGGAGCTTTCTGCCTAATAGCTCCAGAGGACGCCGCGAGGTGCTTTGGGAGTCCTCAGCGTTCCCCAAGTTATCCAGGTGTTTGGGCTCTGTCTCTTGGAGGAGAACTTCATGGCAAAGCAGCTCGCGACAGCACGTTGGTTCTGGCATTTTCTAGCCATTTCCTGGGAGCCTTAGTCTGGAGTTGGTCAAGAGAGACGCTGACGTCAACGTAAGTCTGAAATTCCTCCCTGTTTCTCCACTGTGGTTTTGCTCACCTGGAGAGCGTGTTCGGCGATCGCCCGGCCGCAGGGCCCGATCCACGGAGTGACCGCTTTGACCCAACTGCGAGCCAGTGCCCTGGATGTTCAGATCCATCCACGGTTCGTGCCTGAGCACGGTGAGAAAACTTCATTTCATACTGGCCTATGTCCAGCAGCTGGAGCTTTATGAGGGTTTCTGTGTTTGCAGCACCAGGGAAGATGGACAGCCTTTCAGTTAGCTGATTTTTAATTTAAAAATGCGCTTCTCTTCGAAGATTTTTGTCAACCCAAGGAGTGATTACTCCAGGGCTATTGCTGAAATACCAGCATTTTTGAAGGTCAGAATCTGCATATTGGTCTCAGTGTCTTTGGTATCGGAACAGACGTGTCCCTTTCTGTTGTGTAACTCCTTTGTGGATGTACAGGGTTTTTTTTTTGGTTATCCCTCAAAGGCTTTTTGTCCATATGGATTTTATGCAATCCTGCTTTACCTTCAAAGGCGATCCTGGACCTCGGTGTCTCTGTATGGAAAGGGTGGACTGCAGCCCCTCTGCCGCTCAAATTCCTCCGAAGCATTGGCATTTCCAGGGTTCAGTGTGAATATTGTTTTAAAATGTTAAATTAAGTGTTTACAGCTCATCCAGCACACGGAATCAAAACTGCTCAGGCTGTTACCGTGGCTTCATGCTCCAGGCTATAGTGAGAACCCAAAATCAAGAGCCTGTCCCTTGGTACTCTTCATGGAGTGCTCACCTGGAGTTCTGCACAGTGTATTTATCAAGGTGTGCTGTATTCAAGACTGTGGCAATAAACCTGCCCCAGTGTTTATGCTGGCTTGGGAGTTTTTTTACTCCTGGCTTCCTCTTTAAATTGGAATTTCATTTTTACATGGATGTTTATGCTTGCTTTGTCTTTTGTATTTGTAAAAATAAATATAGAGCAAGTCAGTTAGACGTTAGCGCTTTATGACCGCAGGAGACTTTACATTTCAAATAGAGGAGGAGATAATAGTTTGAGCTTATTTCTGGGTCAGGAAAAGGAAAGATATGAACAGAGCTGCTTTTGGCCTGGGCAGTTTATGGAGAATGAGATTGGGGGAACCTTGAAGAGTAGCAAGATGTGGCAACAACCTAGGAAACGAGGAGTGCAGGGAGAGGATGCTTGTGTCCTTTCTTGAAGAACAACTGTTTCATTTGCAAACCTCGAGATCAAGGCCAATGTGAAAGAAGGGATTGTTCCTTGCCTGGGTGAGTGCAAAGATGACAGAGAATAATTACAAATCTGTAGCACAGGAGATGCTTGAGTGGACAGCCTAATCTCATCTCCCTGGATATCGAGTGCAGCTTAAATGCTGAAGTGTGTGAATGAAGAATTGACCAAAACCTTACAGATGGGTTTGCAGCACAGCCTTGGCCAACCAGCTGCAGGTGGCTGTGGTACAAGGTCCTAGGAAATAGGTGAGATGATCAGAAAACCAAAATGAGAGAATGAGACACAGGGATGCCTGCATCTAGCTGTGTTAGAGAGCCAGTCTGTGTCCCAGATACCAGAACAAAGAGTGTTTAATTCAGCAGGTCTACACATTACCATCCTATTCTTGTTACCTGGTGTCTTTCCTCATCCTCTCTCCTATTCTGCTTTGCCAGAAACTTAACTTCCCACACACGCACCCCCCTCCAAGAGAGAGACAGGCTTTAGAATCAGGATCAGTGCTTGCTGCAGCTCTCCAGTGCCGGCATAATGGATCCATGACCTGATTTAAACCTGTGAGAGCCACCATAACGTAAATATTTGATGGAACTACAGCTTCCCTTTTTAAGCCTGCTTCAGTTTTTCAAGCTAAATCATGGGAAGGTATTCCTGAAAGACACTTGTTAGCGTGGAGTTGTTTATGCAGTTCTCGGTGGTTCTTTTAGAGATTTTTCTGGCTTCAGGCATCGTTTCAGCCTGGCGTAGTATTTATGCAAAATCCAAGCAGTACAAGTAAACATGAAATTATATTTGTGTCATAATACATGGAAAGAAAGGGAGTTAAATCCATATGTCAGCTCTTACCCCAGATGGGAACCATGCTGTCACTCAAATCACGATCACTCCTTGTTTGGGCAGAGATGGTACATCAGTGCTACTGCAGTGTCTTGCCTGGAGTGGCTGGATAAAGGTGGTGAAGGTAGAGGAGTTTGAATGCTAAACACTGACGTGTTTCGACACTTTTTGAGCTGCTCTGGAGAGAAACCTTCTGTGTGTTTTGAGTCCTGGAAAGAGCTTTTTAAATGGATTGAGTCAATATCCCGGACCTACATTTCTTACCCATTTTTATAAACACAGACCTTTGTCAGAAGAAATAGTTGCTGTTAACTTAAGCAGATTTCTGCTTATTGCAGAGAGGCGCGATTCCCACATGGGCAGCATTTGTTGGGCTCTACAGGCAGCAGGATGGCAGTACGACAGATGAAAGAAGGTTTTATTTTAAGTTCTGGAAAAAAAAATTCAACATTAAGATCTGGAAGTGGCTTAACCTGGTATAGACAGAAACAAGGGTTGCAGCAGCCCTTCTGGGCAGAGCCCAAATGATTCAGCCAAGCCAGCAGAAGCGTATGAGAATATTCAGTCTGTTTGGCAGTGAAATAATTTGAAAACCCAGTTTTGTATCCCTGCACTGTGTCTGTTCTGCTCTGGGGACGTGTCCCGTGCCCAGATATTTGGGTTCGTCCTATTGAAAGGAAAGGAAAGAATTTGGAAGCTGGATTCTTCATCCACTGACAGCCATCAACTGAAACACTAGGCTTTTGGGGTGGATGTGCTTCATTTCTGCCCAGGCTGTGGTGCCAAGTGTGGTGTGTTAGAATTCCTTTAATACCTTTGTTTTATAAACTCTATTTATGAGTGAAGAGGAGTGTTTCTGAGGTGCCATCTGTCTTGAATCTTGAACTCGAGGTTAAAGTAGGCAGCTGGAACACACAGCTTATCTCTAGCTGCTGCTATCAGATGCAGTCTTTAAAGCGTGAGGCATCTTCCACCATGATGTTGTAAGTCTTGAAACCACGGGATTTTTTTTTTTAACAGTTCAATTTGCAAGTTAAAAAAAAGAAAGCACTGTCAAATCTCTAAGTCTGAAATGTGGACAAAGCCATGATGAGCACTCTCATTCTAGACCTTGCATCTGAGCTGTTTTCTTTTCTAGGAGACCAGAGGTACCAGGTGATGAATTAATTGCTTTATTGGTGCAAAACTTGAAGTGTTAGCTCTCTGCACCAGCCTCTGCCCCTGAATGGCTTACACATGTAGACTAATGTTGCAACTTGAAGTTCATAGATGATCTTTCTTGGGAGACATCAGAAAAGTAATCCTAAAGCAAATGTTGAGCTTAAGTTTAGTGTTTATTCAAAAGATCCTTGCCGCTTTTAAAAACACTTCATCAGATGTGGGTGCTCGATTGTGCTGATGGGTAGTTCTTTTCAAGATAATACCGAACCACAAAACCCTTTGTGGTACGGTTGCACTGTGAGCAGAGGGTTTTGCTGAATTTTGAGGGAATGGACAAGGACCCTTGAGTCAGAATGTTGCCTGAGTATTCTAAAGGTTACCTAGCTATATATAGCTAAGGCGGGGTTTTCTTTGAAACTAGTCAGATGAGTCCTTGTTCAGTAAATTCCAGACTTCTCTTGTGGAAAAAAAATCTTCTGCTGTTTTCTGCTATTTACCAGTGTGTCTCTTTGCAGGATTCATGAATAAAATTTTCCATCCCAACATTGACGAAGCGTAAGTAAATCCCTAGTGTGTGTTTTTTCTAAGGAGTTTGTCTAATTGCAACTTTGTTTTGGCTTCACAATTATATGCTGATGAGTTGAATGATGCTTTCATCAATCTAAGAGTCCAGAGTGGGGAATTTGATAGAAGTAGATGTTGTCACAAGTTAACTTGCAGGAGTGGGTCAGGCTGTGGGTAAGACTAGAGCGCTGCATGCTGCAGACTCTCTGGCAGATGTGGTCTTTGTATTGCAACATGCTTCATTTACAGAAAATCCAAGGGTGCTACTCCCCCTCTTCATTGGCATCGTGCTGGCTTTCTAGAAACAAGGAACAGCGTTGGCTAAGCTGTAGCTCCCTCTTTAGCTGAAGTTCACATCTATACTAAAACTCTTCAAAATATAAGATGTTTTGCCATGTTCTTTTTAGTTAAGGTTTGTTAAGGGGAGCCACCTATGCTTCAGTCTCTCCAGCAGAGCCCCATATGGACCAATGAATTCAGTAAAGGCTCCAGTTTCCTTTCTTTTGTGCAGAGAATGAAGATTCATGTAGTTAAAGGCTGCCCCTCTATTAACCACAAGATGGAAGTAAATCGTAGCTTATCTGAAACAGTGGGGCAGAGGCAGGGCAGGGGAAGGGAGCGGGGAGATTATATTAAATCCCCAGAGTATTTTTGAGTGTGACTGTGTTTAATTCCATCCTTTCCATATGTTTCAGGTCAGGAACTGTATGTCTAGATGTAATCAATCAAACTTGGACAGCTCTCTACGGTGAGTTTGGCATTTCCCTGAAAGCTGATCACATGAACATCCGTATTTGGTGCGCTAACATAACATGGCTTGCTGGAGACAGATGATCTTAGGCCAACTTTGGGTTTGGTTTTTTTGGTTTGTTTTTTTTTTTTTTTTTTTTTACTGAACTTTTAAACTCTTCACTGAGCCAGCATCATATGAAAAATAAGATTTTCATGTGAATATACTTTCATAACCTGTTTTTATGCCAGAGGCACGAAAATATTCCATAAACCTCACAAAGGATCACTCAGTCCATTGCTTGGCATTGTCTGGCAACTGCACAATAGCACGCTGCCATGATTCAGCATTGAAAGAGAGGAGTGACTGTATCTGAAGTGAAACCTAGTTCCAGCTACACCATCCGCAATTTGTATGTGCATTTGAGCTGGTATTCTTGGTGCACAAGGTTATGATCCCCCGTCTACAGAAGATGGCACCAGAAACTGTTCCTGTTTGTCATGGCAGCACCATTTCCTTGCAGGCTGGGAGGTGGTATTGCATCTAATGACTGCACTGCTTGCTGTAGAATGCTCTGCATTTCCCATTAGGTTGTTTCTGGCTATACTCTCCTTTTTAGAGACACAAAAAGATCAGCTGGTAGCTGAAGACCTGTTAAAATAGCATTTAGAGAAAGCTGAAATTGTTAAAAGGAATACAGCTGAGTATTTAGTCTAGGTTGGCTGCATTTTAAAAATGTGAACTTCTTCAGATGTTCCAGTTATGCTTTGTGGAAGAGTATTCAGGGGAACATCAAATCCTTCACGTTCTTCCATGAAAAACTGATTTAACCTATGTAAGTTGAAGCTCTGAAGCAGTTGCTAGAGAGACGAGCTACTTCACATTCCACGCAAGCACAATTTGTAAGGAAATACCAGACTTGGTGAATCCTGGGTGGGAAATTGCTATAGCAACTTGTTGAACTTTACTCCTCATCAGAATGCCTGAAATCCTCATGTAGTAGATGCATGGCATACACTTCACATGGTTTTGTTGTGAGTGAACAGCTTAACCGTGACCCAGGTGGTGTTGCTAATGGAGGAAGAGGATGCTCTTGTGTCCTGGAGGATCTGATGTGAGGCAGAGGAATGAAAGCCAACCCAAGGCCTCTGCTGGGGATGAACCTGCATGGTTCAGTCGGCAGCAGAATCCAGCTCAGTGCAGCGTGTGCTGCTGTTCCACAGCCTTAAATGCTACCTGCAGATCGTGGGGATGGCTGGACAAAAGAAAATCGCTTCAGCGTAACCATGGTGCTGGTTTTGTGCTCTGGCAGTCTGGGTTTTGCTTTGGAAGCCATGCATGGATATCCTCCCTGTCCTGCAGCACGCCATCCCAGGCAGCCACAGTGGGACTTTGGCACTGTTTCCAAACAATTTCATAGCAGGGCTTTCTATGAGAGGTTTGCTAATGAGTGCTGCTGTATTTTTGTCATCGTTATTGCTCGTAGAGGTAGAAAAACCAGCTTGGTATTTACTTTGCATGTTCTGTATTAATAGCAGCAAGCTTGCAAAAGTCTTCCGCGTTTTTCCTTACGAGATCAGGGATAGGTGCTAGGCCATTTGAAGGTATCAGGAGTGTATTCTGTACAGAGCACCTTCCACAGTAACTGGTGAAACTTGGTATTAGAAAGTGCATCGCTTGACAGCCATCTGATTGCAAACTTCCCTTGCCTTGCTGCAGGATGCCTTGGAGCTGCAGGGAGGACTCTGGGGTGACTGCATTCGCTCTGCCCCTTCACTCACAAGTCATCAAGCACTAGAGCGCCTACATCACCTCGTCACTTCCAGGGCATTGCCTCCTTATGTGAAGTAAGGAGGTGGCCCATTTCTGAACATGAAATGAAAAGAGGGAAATAATATTTCCCAGTGCCTCCCGGCACAGCTGCGTTGTTGGGAGTGTCACTCCTTTAAACCAGAGCGCTCCTGCTCTGGCAGAGGAAATGGGTCAGATAATTCAAGGAGCAACTAAGGTGGAAGACACCCAGAATAGCTACCAAGAAATTCATGAGGACCTTGTAGTTAATTCCCTCTCCTTAATGAAGTGTCAAGTCCTCAGTGCTGTGGTTAGACTTCCTGCATGTGTTCAACTAGTTCCTGCTAAGCCAATGCCCCTTTTGGGGATTTGGAAGAAGGGGGAAATTACTGAGGTCTCTTAAAAAAGAAAAATCCTTGCAGTGTGCCCCGTGAGCCATGGTGGCGTCCCAGGGCTCTGCTTCCTCAGCCTACATGAGTTTAGTTGTTTAACGACCACAAAGAAATACTTGGTCTAAACCTGCTCTGTGGAGAGACTTGACCCAGCTTCTTGCTGGTAGTGTCCAAACCCAGTACCTAGAAGGGTTAATTGGTTTACCAAGGACAAGCTGCTACCATGGAAGAAAGTATTCTTACAGAATATCCTCACTGTTTTTTTTTGTGGTCCCTTTTTGGATGAGGATCCTTCTTGCAGTTGCTGTTGTGCTTCATCCTAGAAGCAGCTGGTGGCACCTGGCTGCTCAGTGTGCCAGCCGTGGCAAACTTGGTCAGGGTACCACGTGCACTTTAAAGTGCTTCATCCCTGTCCTCAGCCAATATTGGAAGGGGCAGCTGCTTCTATATAGCAGGAAGAGATTTCAGGGTAAAGACACCTAATTTATTAGTGGTATCACTGTATCACAGAGACCAGCCGATTGTTATCCATAGTAATCACTGTCATTTACTTTTTGTAGTTGGGTGACGCAGTTATAACGAACCCTGTGCTCCTGAGTATATAAAGCCATGGCCTTTCCTCTTGCTCGGCAGGGTTTGTGCTGAATGGGCAACTGAAATAGTCATAGCACAGTGTCCATACGTCCTGGATGTGTTGGTGCAGGAGAGAATAACTGACAAAACCGTGACGCTCCTTTTGATCCTCTTGAGCAAGCTCTGAACGCACGTTCTAAAAGCACACCCGCTGATAGATCTGCAGAGCTGGCAACGCGGGGTGCCTAGACCTCCTGTGCCGCTCTTCTGAGGCTGTATCTTTGCTGGCAATAGAGTTAGAGCTTGATCTTCTGTGTCTGCAGCCCAGAGCCAGAGTAACCGTTTGCATGGGGAGAGCGCTTGGAGATCTCCTCCCCTACCTGTCCACCCATTCTGGTGAATCTTTTAGAAAGCTAAGGGCTCTGAAGTCCCTGCTGTCTACCAGACGTGGTTGAATTTAGCAGCTCCGTGAGGCTCGGTGATGGCTGGGCTCAGGAGCTGTCACACAGCCTTGTTCCTGTAAGAGGCAGGTTGGGATGGCTGACTGCTCACGTGGTGGATCCTAGGGAGCGTTGGGCTTCCCTTCTGCCAGCTCCACTTGGATCCATGCTGGAGGGGAGGGATGATGCTCATCCACAGGCAGGATTTCTCTGCCACCAGGAAAGTGAAATCCTTTAGGGAGGAAAGGGGGATCCTGATAAAAGACGTGTAGAATATTCACAAAGAAAACCCCACACAACGAACGCCGGTCTGCCTGTATCAGCAGCTCTCCAGTGGCTAAAGCAAAACCTGGCGCACAGCCCTGCGCTGGGGGTTTAATCTCTGCTCTGCGTGGGTGCGCGTGGTCCTTCTGAAACCCCCCAGGAGAAGTGATGACGCAGGGCTTGTTTCTGAACACCCCCACCGCTAGAAGTGTGGTACTTGTCGTCTTAGGGATGTGGGAAGAGGGTTTCATGTATCCACAATTACTCATCGGCACCAGAAGCATGCTTCCTGTTGTGGATTATTTAGTGACAGATGCCAACTGGCACCAAGGTGTTAATGTGAGCTCTTCACATTCTGCGAATTGTTTTGAGTTGGAGGAGGGACTTGTTGGTTGCTCTTTCTATTAACACAATCATCTAAAGCACTTTAGAAGATGCTTTATGCTTGAGATATGTCAATTTAGTCATGAAGCATAAGACATTTAAAGACGGTAATAGAAGGAGGCAGAAATAGAAGAATTCAGTGAGGGGTGAAGCGGTGCACTGTTTGTTTTCACATTTTCCATTTTTTTTTTTTTTTTTTTTTTTTAAAGCCAGGGCTGACAATTGTGTCCTTCCACTTCTTTGCTTAACCCTCAGATATCTGTATCTACGTTCTTGGGGTATCGAGTAGTTTGTGCAGTTAGCTGAGGAGCTGCAGCGTACCTTCAGCAGCAGCAGCTGACTTATCAGCCATGTATGTGCTTTCCCCACTGCAGTTTCCTTTATTTTAACTTGTGCCCAGATTTTCAGTGCGTTTGCCTTTGAAGCTTTGGGCTGCTCTTTCCATGCCAGTGCTTGCAGGATGATTGATCGGACTGTCTCTGGGTCTGTGGGCATGAACAACTGTGTCTTTCATTTGCAGATCTCACCAATATATTTGAATCGTTCCTGCCCCAGCTGCTGGCCTATCCTAACCCTATAGATCCTCTAAATGGTGACGCTGCAGCCATGTACCTCCACCGACCAGAAGAGTACAAACAGAAAATTAAAGGTAAGGGTGTAAATAATTTATTGTGGAATGAGTGACGTTACTGTGATTCCACCCTGGGGGAATGAGGACTCTTTGCCCATTTGTGTGTCAGTGCCCATTCCTTCCCGTTACGGGGGCCCCGTCCATTTTAAATGGGGGTGATCTGAAATAAGGGGTGGAGGAACTGCTGCTGTGGTGTACGCAGTTTTGCGGGGTAGGGTTTTTAAATCATTAGCAGACTTGAAGCAGGGAAGACCGTAAGCAAACTGGGTTAGGATTCAACACAATTTTGAGAGATCGGAGAAACGATTAGGAAGAAAAGGTGTGCAACCAAAGAAGAGGCAAGGAAAAATGTTAAACTGAAATGGGAGCACCCGGTTGCACAATTACTGGATAGAAAATGGCTTGTTAGCAGTTCTGTGGAAAGTGATCCAAGAGCAACAATCAAGGAATCAGTGATGCTGTTGCAGAAAGCGCTTCTGTACTGTGAAAGAGCAGGAATTTTCAGTAAATGCCAAGTAATTGTTCCTTGTTACTTTCCAGTTAAGCTGAGGCTTACTAGTGCTGTGCCTGGTTCAGGGACTGCCATTTAAGCAAGCTGTAGACCAGTTGTTAAACCCTTTGAGACATTACTTAGGGCAGATGATCCTGAATACACATCTTAGGAGGACAGAGGGGAAGAATTGGAGGAGTTTAATCTAGAGGACGGAACGGGGTTATGAGCTTTGATGTGTCAAAGGTGCCTTCAAAGAGGAAGGGAATGATTTATCCTGTGATCAGTGTGAGCAGGATGTGGTCACAGGTGTGTAACTCAGCTGGAGGGAGCCCAAGCTAAACATTAACAGTGACTGGTGAGGGTAGGTGAGCGCTGGCAGAGCCGGTGAGGGTGCTGGTGGGTCTGCGCTTGAAGGGTTGGAAGGACATGTTAAACAATGCTGAGGAGTAGAGTCAGTACCTCCTTGGGGTCAGGGACGGCTCCCAGTAAGGACTCTTAAATACTGTGGATAAGCCTGGCGCTAGAAGGACTGTCTTAGCACGCTGGTGAGACAGACACAAATTGAATTAGTCTTGCAAACATAAGAAATAAGTTTAAAAAAATAAGAATTGCACTTTAAGTTTGTCCTTTGCCTTCCCTAGAATCAGCTTCCTGCAGACAGGAGCAGGGCGCCATTTCCTGGTGTGACAGGCCTGTAGCAAAGCCATGGACTTTATTTCTCCCCTGATAGAATAAACACAATCAGCATTTAATCCAGTGGTGAGAAATGTACAGCCTCTGGCCCAGATTTGGTCTTCAGCTTAAGTTTTTCAGAGACGGCAACTGCCTGATTTGTAATTTTTTTTTTTCTTGTTTGGTTACTGAATAACCGTAAGACTTGTTTGTCCGTGGAAGCCCTGCCTGAAAGGTTTGCAGGGCCTGCTCAGCAAGGAGAGCCTCCATGAGTGGCACGATCTAATCATCTTCCCAGTGTGAGCTGGGGTAGCAGCTTTCCTAACGGAGCGTTGTGAAAGCTCACTGGTGTTCGGAGAGTGCAAGTATCCCCAAAAGATGCTGAGGTTTGGTGGTGGAGTCCTCCCCTCAGCTCTGCCACGTCACTCTGGAGTGGTTAAACCTCGAGTCACTTTGTTCTGATGCGAAATGACTCTTCATCAGCTGCAATTTTTGTTTGAGGGTGGAACTACAAATGAGGCCAAGCAAAGCTGTGATCTAAATGCTGAGTTATTCAGCCCACTTTGCTTGATTCCTCTGACAGCTGCCTGACAAGACTGTAAGAGCTACTCTGCAGATCTGGCCTGCTCAATATCCTGAAGTCCACTGCCCTTTTTTCATAGGACAAAGCTTCCAGATTAAATGGTTTGTCAGATAAAATCTCCAGGGCCAACACAAGGGACACTTGGGGGTGTCCCCTATGCTTTAGTGAAACGGGAATAAAAAAAGATACACCCTTGAAAAAAGCAAACAAACTGGTGGTAGCCAGCAGCAGGTGCTTCAAGGGAGATCTGAGGACGTCCCTCAGGGAGGCTAAATAGGATAGTCTGCTCCCTTGTTTCCATCTTGACAGCCAGGTACAGGCCGTGAAGATGATCTGGAAGGAGTTTTAAGTGCTTGCAACATGTCTCATGTTCCATATACCCAAGAGTGCTGCCTCTGCTGTCTCTTCCCAGGCTTGCGTGACAAGTATAAGATAGAGCTAAACGCTGCAATTCCTCATATTGTAGCATTTTTAAAAATAGTCTTGGACATGTTAAAATTGATGCAACGGATTGTAGCAGCTTCTCTGCTCTGAGAAACTCAGTAGCGCAAATACATAATTTATTGCTGCTTTTCTTCATTTTTTAGTTATGAGTGCATAGAACAGTTGTTTGACATAGTGGTAGTAAAGAGATGGGCAGAGGCTTAGAGATGTGGCCCAAGCTTTGTAGTTTCCCATGATTCTTGGTGTGAGACCCAAACAAGTAAGGATTTATCGTGGAACTTTTAAACGTCCGTTAATATTACCAGCATGCAGCTGGAAAGCGTGATTCTCAGCGTAAGAGCCCTCAGTTAGATGAAGTAGTTCCTGGACACAGGGCTAAGATCTCCTTGGCACGATGGCTTGCCTGATCACTGGTAGAGCAGCAGAGGGTGGGCTTCAGATGCCCAAAAGTGGCTCAACATTTGCTTGTTGACTTGAGCTGTTGCGAATTAGTGCTTAACTCCTGTGTGCGCTGCTTTTTCCTTCTCTCTGGTAGATCTAATATGAAAACTTCTTTTGGGAGGGTGGCGGCGGTGAGTAACAGCAGCTGAAGGGGCAGGTCGAGTGTTCGCTGGGAGCAGAGGACAGCTCTGGGAGCAGTTTTCCCATCCCACATGTCAGCTCTGGAGTTCCAGTAGAGTCCTTTGAAACACCGGTATGGCTCACAGGCACGTACCAGCCACGGGGCACAACCACAGCTTGTTCTTGTTGCTCCAGGGTTTAAAAACAGATGAATCAAAGCCGTGTTTCCCTGGTAGGAATGGGTGCATCAAGGCTTTCCCTTCTTGAAGAGGCTTCTGTAGAAAGTGGTTTGTCAGCATTTAGATGTTGCAGTTTTCTTCCCTTAATAGACTGAAGATCCAAGTTCAGTGCAACGTTCAGCACAGAAGCTCTCTGAAGTTTGACCTTTCCCAAATTAAACCTTCAGAAGGACCCAGCCCAGGGCCTTGGTGGCTTTCCTGAGTAGAAGATGATATTTTAAGCTTGAAGTGCTTCGAGTTGTGTTTTAGCTGAGGCTCAGCCAGGCTTTTACCAACAGTAAGAAACTGTGCCTTCCACATCCAAATCTCCAGTGGCCCAGTAAGGGGTTGCCTTTGTCATCCAAGGACATCCAAAGTCTTACAGCAAAGGAGCTTGGGTTCCCTTTGCTGGATTGTGCAAGGAGTAACAACTTATCTGTGCAAACAGCCCTTTTCCAGAGGGAGATTAATTCTCGGATAGCTATAGGAAGGAAGTAGCCGCTACAAGGATATGTCATGTCAGCATCCCATCTCCTTAGCTCTGCTTGTCATCTATTGTCCACCCACCTTCCCAGGTAAATTCTCTGAAGACACGCTGCTTTTTTTGGGTCCCTCCTTCAGTTAATCCCTCTCATCTTTAAACCATTAGGCCTGCCACGCCGATTCTTCTTGCTTTGCAGTGTCCATCTCTTGGCAGATGGTCCCTGCCCCAGACTCTGAAATCTTATTCACTGGTATAGGCAGGAGACGTGATCAGGCAGGGCCTAGGCTCCACAATGACACAGACAAACACCTTCCAAAAAGGGGGGGGGGGGGGGGGGGGGCGGTTCTCAGTGGCCAGGACCTGAGGAGGGAGCACAAGGGTGCTTCTCTGTTGGTACCACGTGGGCTCCGGCAGCCTGAGGGCAATCCGAGACCTTGAGTGCTCCGTGCTTCCCGGTGTTTACATAGCTGCCTTCAATACTTTATCAGTTCTTAACAAGTTCTTGTAAAACAGATTTGAACAGCTGCTTCTGAAGTCCGAGCGAGCAGGTTAATTATGTATGCTAACCAGTCAGACTGAAGCTGCGTGCGTCATTAGATGGAGAAGCTGAAGCTCACTGGGCTCAGAAGCACCTTCCAACCAGCTCTTGCAGCTTTTCCAGGGCAGAGCAGGTCTGCCAAGGCCACCAGCTGCTCCATCCTGAGAACTCCTCCATGAAGTGTTGGCTTCAGCTTGCTCTGACCATACCATACCCCTGAAGCAGGAGTAACGTGTTTGGGCTCTGTGTCCTTACATCAGCTTCAGAAACATGGAAAAAACCACAATGATGCAGACCTCTTGCGGAGTATTTTCCCTTCCAGTAGGCTGGAGGATGGAAATGCAGAGGGAAGGAAGGTGATAGCTTTAAGAATATCGAGGTTCTGCAAGGGACAGTCTTTAAAACCTGTGTTTTAGCACTTGATTATCTGGCATTAGATGTGTCCTCCACAGCTTTGTCGATGCATCCACCTGCCGATATGGTATGGAATAAAAGGCAGTGATCTGTGCTCCTGGAGGAGAGGTGCTCCTTGTGGACCTCATTCCCTGGGAGGAATTAGAGAACATAAAGTTGGGATGGCTGCTGGGCTGGGACTGGGATGTGTCCAGAGAAGGGCAACAAAGCTGGTGAAGGGTCTGGAGCACAAGTCTTATGAGGAGCAGCTGAGGGAACTGGGGGGGTTCAGCCTGGAGAAAAGGAGGCTGAGGGGAGCCCTTATCTCTCTACAACTACCTGAGAGGAGGTTGTAGTGAAGTGGGGGTCGGTCTCCCAAGTATCAAGTGATAGGATGAGAGGAAACCCCCCTGCCAGGGGAAGTTTAGATTGGATATTTGGAAAAATTTTTTCACTGAAAGGGTTGTCAAGCACTGGAACAGGCCGCCCAGGGAAGTGGTGGACTCGCCATTCCTGAAGGTATTTAAAAGATGTGTAGACACGGTGAGTAGGGACGTGGTTTAGTTGTGGGCTTGACAGTGTTAGGTGAATGGTTGGGCTCGATGATCTTAAAGGTCTTTTCCAACCTAAACAATTCTATGTTTCTATGACATTCACATTTCCGTGCAGGGGCTCATCTTCAAGCACAAAGGGATGGTGCTATTCCCTCTTCCTTCATTTTTTTAATACTGCTGTTTGGAGGAGGCTTTGTTGAGTTTTAGTACCATAGTGTCTGGAAAAATAATGAGTTTACAACTGAAATGCCCCAATGGCAGCGTGAGCACAACACCTCTCTCCTCCTCAAAGTGCGTGGCCTGTGGTGTGGAGGACGTGCTCTCAGGATACCGAGGTTACGTCACTGCTTCATCCTATGAAGCTGCTTTCTCGGCACGAGGTGGAAAAGAGAGGGATAAATAAGAAGGAAGACTTGAAGTTGAGGCTGAGCACCCCTTCTTTTGCCCAGTTTTGTGCCAGGCTTTCACCCCCGTTCCATTCTGCACATCTGTAAGCGTGTAAGGAATAGGCTTTCTCTGCTCAAGGTGGCCTCTCTGCTGGGGACACCAGCCCCTCCTTGGATCTCAGGGGGGACGCCATGGGAGCCTCCTGTAGCTGTGAAGGGAAGAAAGGGATTGCCAGGCTCAGTTTGGCTGATCCGATCCCCTTTGTGTTGCCTTTTTGTTCTGTCCCTCTGAGCGGAGGTGACCATGGAAGCCGCACAAGCCAAGGTTGCCAGCGGTTATTTTACCTGCCTGCAGGAATCCCAGTAAACCAGTTTTCCTGCTCGCTGTACAGCTAGCTTCCTTCGTGCTCCTGGCTGAAGTTCAAGGTGTTGATCTGGGTGCCTAGAACCAGTGTGGTTTGGACCCTGCTGTGAGTCCGCCAGTGACCTGCAACGCGGGGGCCCGGCTCCCCGCGAGTCCTCCTCAGCTAACCCTATGGCTGCTCTTTGACATGAAGGAGGTTGCAAGAGCTGTGCTTTGAAAACAGAACCTGGGGCAGACCCATGTTTATTTTAGGGCTGGAGGAGGGACCTTTTGCTTTTTATTTCAAAAAAAAAAAAAAAAATAAATACAGCTATTCCTGCAGTAGACTTCTGCTTTCCTTTCTCTGTCCATCCTTCCTTAAACTGCTTATACAGAGTTTAGTCTGGAAGTCTAGTCTGGCTCTGAGCTTGGCTTTGGTGATGGTTGTTCTGCCCTATTGTCTTAAATGCTAGGATCTTAATTTCTTAAAGTCAGGCTATACAGTGACAGAATGATGGCTTTTAGGCTTGTTCTCTAGGTCACCACAGTAGCTCCTGTTTTGGCAGTAAACAGAATCCTGTCCTATTAAGTGAGATACAACATACCAGGGAGGACTTAGGTTGTTTCCAGCTACGAGTGTGTGTGGTGCTGACACAGGAGCCTTGGGATCATACTTGTTTTCAAAAGTCCTGCATGTGTCTAAGGTCTCCGTCAGCTGTTTTCAGATGTTGTTGGACAGTGCTGCCTTTGGTCTGAGAAATACAGTATGTATCTGTATGACTTGTCAAACTTGATAGGACCCAACCAGCTCTTAGTCGTAATTCACTCATCCTCTGCCTGTTGAATATATGCTGCTTATATGTCTTTTCTTTTCTATCACATGCAGAATACATTCAGAAATATGCAACAGAAGAAGCACTAAAAGAACAGGAAGAAGGCACCGGGGACAGCTCGTCCGAGAGCTCCATGTCTGACTTCTCGGAAGATGAGGCTCAGGATATGGAGTTGTAGTAGAAGAGGCAACCTGCTTTTCAGAGAGACTCTAATTTCCTAACCATGAGAAGCAGACTATAATATTCATATTTAAACAAAGCAATTTTTTTTATTACTAAACAAGGTTTTTATGAATAATAGCATTGATATATATATATCACCCTTTAGATCTTGATTTTCTTGGTCATTTCTCGAACCCGAGGTGCATAGCATATTCCCACATTCCATTTTGGTAGCAATATGCAGCCCGAATGCATGCATTCAAATTCCATTTGGCCAAGTCAACTTGTGTGCTACTGAACTGTCAGCTAAAACAGCTGCCCTGGTAGGTAGGAAGTTAGCAAAAAGATGTTTGCTTTCTTATTGATGTTTCCAAAGACACCACCTTGGATGCTAACGTGGAACAGCATTTTCTCAAAGTATAAAATCTGGGGGATGATATACTAACCGTGTAGATCAGACAGTGGAATAAAAGGTGCTCCTTCAGGTCAACCTTGCTGATCGTATTTTACATGGAGTCACACTTAAAAAAAAGAAAAAAAAAAAGAAAGAAAAACAAACAATACAAATGCATGGAGCTATTCAGAGCATTGAAGCTTAAAAATTTTGACTTGGATTTTAAGTCCGTTTTTATATGTGGACTCCTGCCTGCCCTTCTGAACTGTAGGGACTGACAACCACTGGTCTCTTTGCTTTTGGGACTTTTGAAAGCCTTCATCTGGATGTTATTCACTTTCTTGGTCTGGATTACGAGCTGTTCCCTTTTTGGGAGGAAAAAAAAAAAAAAAACACCAAACAAAAAAAACCCCAAACACGATGCTCTCTGAACAGCGCTTTGATTTAGCAGGAGCACATGTGAAGTCAAACTCTTACTTTTGTCATAGTTTTGAAACTGCTGCCCTTTAATGGCTTCAGGTTTGCCTTTTTTTTTTTTCTTTTTTTTTTTTTTTTCTCTTGCTTGAAGTATGGTTAAACACCTCGCAAACACTCTCCATCTCCTAAGAGGGTCCTCTGACCAGATGGATTAGCCTTGCTGAGAGCTTCAGATCCACGAAGATCGGCCCATTGGCTGTAGTCCACGAACCCATCGGCACTGATTTTATTTTCCTTTTTTCCTCCCCCTTCTGCACCAGCTTGGTAGCCATCTGCTTGTGTGTGTACAACAGGATTAAAATTTCTTAAAAGTTAACAAAGAGTATGATCTAGAAAAATTTTGAGATGAATAAAAAAAAGCCTAAAAGCACCAATTGAGGAAGCAAGTGAATCTGCTCTGGTTTGTTTTGTTGTTTTGGTTTTTTTTTGTTGTTGTTTTTTTTTTTTTTCCAGGATGATTCTGAATTGGAATGTTTCATTTTTCCTGGTGTCTTTCGGCCACCTGGGATTTTTGTTTGTTTTAACACTATGAATTCCAATATAGTAAATGTCTACCTGGGATGCTGGTATACTTGAATTTGGATAATTGTGCATTGGAGATTCAAACTAAGATGGAGTTCTAAAGCTGAATGTTACCTGCTCTATTCTTTTGGGGGTTTGGAGGGGTTTGGACAAGATGTTTTAATTTGTGGTGCAACCTACAGGACAGCGCATGGAAAAACCAACCCACCCTGAGCCACTCTCGAGCAGAGTTTTGAATGTCAGACTGGTACATTTGTCATGTTCCCAGAATTGTTTTGGTTTGTTTTCTTTAGAAATGCCACCAAGTTTTGAGTCATTGGGGTTGGAAGGTTACAATCCTGTTTCTAATTCATAAAGCACAATCAATTTATTTTTTTTTTCTTTTGGGGAAAAAAAAACCAAACTCGTAAAGTACCATTTTGCTTTAGCATGATTTTCCTTAATAAAAATATACAAAGAATTTCCTTTATGTTAATTACGGGCATGAAGCAAAGGTTTTTCCTCTCCTTTTTCCCTTTTTATTTTAAAGCAGTAATGTTAGGGCTGTGGCTAGTGTCTGTGCTGAAGTTCTCTATCTAGCATTTGTGGCTTGTCGGAAGGGTAATATTAACTATTTAACATGTAATGGTGTACTTAACTCTTATCTAGCACGCTGTTTTTCTCATTACTTTGGGGAGGGAGGGGCCACGTTTTGCTGGCACTGTTTAACTTGCTTACCTGCTGACCTAGCAGTTTGCTTGTGCTATAACCTTTACTGTAGGTGCTACTTAGGAGTAGAGTAAGTGCTGGGTGGTGATATCAGTTTAAAAGATTAAAAAAAAAAAAAAAAAAAAAAAAAAAAACAACAAAGCAGAAAAAAAAAAAAAAACAAACCAAAAAAATCACAATAAAAATTTGTATTTTTTCAATATTGTATAAAAATAGTGTTCTAATTACCTCATCCCCCTTCCTTTGCAGGTTTTTCTTCCCCATCACTCCATCCCCTGACATGGATTTAGTGCACCAAACCACTTGCACCTTCCTCCCTACTTTTGTGAGAAACACGCATTCTGCTACACAGGGGATTGCCCCCCATCCGCCCTGCCCCCCCCCCCCCCAAAAAAAAAAAATATATAAATACCGGTAAAGCCGCAGGTTGCCAGGGCCAGCTCCTGCCCCGGGTGCGAGGACGCAGCGGGGCGCGTGGAGCTTGCGCGGGCCAGCGGCTCAACGGGCCCGGAGCCACGAAAATGTGTGTCCCCGGCTCTTCCCGATGCTCCCGAGCTGTGGCAAAACCGAGGGTTGTCCTGCGCCCGGCGGGGAGGGAAAACCAGCTGCCAAAATGCTGCTTGTTTAAAAAAAAAAAAAAAAAAAAAAAAAAAAAAAATTCTGTCCTGGATGTAAACTGCTTCTTGGGGATGAGGTGGACTGCGAGTCACCTTGCCCGCCTCTGCTTCTTCCCCTCCATTATTTTTCACCTGGTTTTGTTTATTTTTTTTTTTTTTTTTTTCCCAAATCATCCTCCTTCTCCCCGAAGAAACTTTCCCCCTCCAACAGTTTGTAAATAAAACTGCGCTTACGTAGTCTGAAAGAAAAGGTGGAGCCATATTGAAGCAAGATAGCTCTTTTTGGGTTTTGTTTTGGGTTTTTTTTTTTTTGTGGTCCTCTTGAGGATTGTTTTTTTTCTCTTCTTCAGAAAACAGCGTTGCCACCTCGTGCTCTGTCAGGGCGATGGGAATTTCTCAGCCAGCCCCTGATGGACCCTGAGTTGACTTTCCCCGCTACTAAAACTTGCCGCAGCCCCTTGGCGCTTCTTTCGGAAACAACCTTTGGCTTCAATCCCTGTAATCTCTCCTCGAGGTTTTTACACGACCAAGTCCCTCCAGGGTGGCACCTGGTGCCCCGGGGCCGGTCGCTGACCCTCCGGGCTGATTTTTTTCCTGACCCTCAGGTCGCTTTGGCGGCTGCAGGAGGACGTTGGCACCGGAGCAGAGCTTTGCCATCAGCCCTGGTGTGGCACAGCCTTGTCCTCCTGCCTCCACCGTGTCCAGGGTTGAACCCCAACCCATCTCTCTCCTCTTTCCACCTCTGCCCATCCCTAAACGCGTGCCGGAGAGACGGGGTTCCCCTTCCCATCCCCGCCTGGCGAGTGTCCTCCGGCAGCAGGGACCCTCCTCGCAGACCAGCGGGAAGGCTGGGAGGTGTTTGACAATTTTCTCTTTTTTTTTTTTGCTTCTTGTTCTCTCGTCCACATTCTGCTGGCACTTTAGCAGGGGTGTTTGCAGCATGAGAAATGGCCATGATTTTACTGCCTGTGTTTGGTACCTATCGTGTGATACTTGAAGAGATCAGGGGTGTTTTGCCCTTTGTTTGAGTCAGCTCTTTATTTTTCTTTTTTTTTTTTTTCCCCTCCTCTTGCGTTGTTGTAGTGGGCACATCTGCCACCCTGACAAAATGCCTCTTCTCTAAGAGTATAACCTCTCCAATAGTTGTGTATAATGAAAGAACTGTAAACTTTTTTTAAAATAAAAATATGTATATACCTTGAAGCGTGGCTGGTGCTTGATCGCTGAGAGCTTGCTCTTGCAGGAAGGACCCTGGACCTTGAGGCGCTGACTCTGCATCCCACCACGGCTTCACCCAGGGCCCATCTGCACCGGGCCAAAGCCGTCCCAGGGCATCTTCTGATTTTTAGGGTCTTGGGCTGGAACTGAGGGAGCGGTGCAGCCACGGGGCATCGGTCCCTCCACCTGCGCAGGCACTTGGCGTGGATTTATTTCGAGGTCTCTTCTTGCAACAGGACGAGTCGTTACAGGTAACGCTGCCCGAGGCGCCGCAGCCGTCGCTGGAGCTGTGTTTGGTGTCCTGGGCTGGTAATTACAACAGGGGTGGCTGTTTTCTGTCTAATCCCACATGATTTTGGCTAGATGTTACATGGGGATGGGGATAACGTACACAGGGGATGTGACGGGGAGTGGGAGCAGTTCAAAGACCCCCGAGTTGGTGGTTTGGGGGTTTTGGGTGAGCCAGGGAAGGGGACGCCAGCCTGGCACCTGCCTTGTCCTCGTCGTGGTTTAGCTTGCTGCAGCTGCTGTCCCAAATTTGCCGGTGAGGAGCAAAACCTTCCTCTCCATCCTCCTCTTCGCACCCTTCCCTTGCTCCGGCCGGAGCCGTTTGTCACCCCAAGGACCCAGCTCGGCGACAGGGTTGGCGGGTCCGTGTCGTGCCAGTGCCACCTGCTGCCAGCACCCAGCCTGGCAGCCCTGAGCACCTTCGGGTGACGCTGGGGGGGCAGGGGGGGTGGGGACACACCGTCCCAGTGCCACCTCCTGGGGCCACCAACCCTCCGGGCTCTGCCCCTTGCCCTGGGAAGGGAGCAGGGAAGAGGGGGGGGGGGGGAACAACCCTATGCACCCCCCGCTGTGTGTGTGTGTCCCCCCTTTTAGGGTGGCTTTTAGGGCCGGCTGGGGTTGGCACTGTCCCCTCTGCCCAGCAGGTGGCCCTCATGCCACACCAGTACCCTCCCACCCTTCCCAGTACGGCTGGCCGCGGTGCTGGGTGCTCTCCCAATCCCCTGGCTGTGGTCCCATCGCTGCTCTGTCCCCACTGTCCCCTGGGTGCCAAGTGCCACCCGCTGTCCGACCATCCTCCCTCGGGGTTTTGGGCTCGGCCCGAGTTCCCACAGGGCCCCAGGAGGTGGGTGCTGCTTGGGGGGGGGGGGGGTCAGTGGTAGGGCGGTGTGGGGGACAGGGACCCATAGGTGCCAGTGGGCGCTGCTCGGTGCTCCTGGAACCAACCCTGAGACCTCACCCTGCATCGTCTGTGCCGATGCTGAAGGACATCGAAGGGCAAAGCCCCGAGCCTGGGGCCCCCACCCCCAGCTCTGGGTGCCATCCCCAAGGGACCCTGGTTCCTACCACCACAAGGCCCTGGGTCCCATCCCCAAGGGGCTCTGGGTGCCAACCCCGCAGGGCTTTGGGTGCCATCTCCACAGGGCTCTGGGTGATGTCCCCATGGAGCTCTGAATACATTCCCTGTGGGGTGCTGGGGGCTGTACCCAAAAGGGCCTGTGAGTGCCTTCATCACAGGGCCTTGGGTGCCATCCCCAAGGGGCTCTGGGTGCCATCCCCATGAAGGTTTGGGTGCCATCCCCAAGGGACCCTGGTTTCTACCACCACAGGGCCTTGGGTGCAATCACCAAGGGGCTTTGGGTGCCATCCCCAAGGGACTCTGGTTGCCATCCCTCTGGGGCTTTGGGTGCCATCCCCATGAAGGTCTGGGTGCCATCCCTGTGGGGCTTTCAGTGCCATCCCCATGAAGGTCTGGGTGCTGTCCCCAAGGGGCTTTGGGTGCCATCCCCATGAAGGCCTGGGTGCCATCCCTGTGGGGCTTTCGGTGCCATCCACAACGGGCTTTGGGTGCCATCCCCAAGGGACTCCGGGTGCCATCCCTCTGGGGCTTTGGGTGCCATCCCCATGAAGGTCTGGGTGCCATCCCCAAGGGGCTTTGGGTGCCACCCCCAAGGAGCTCTGGGTGCCATCCCCATGAAGGCCTGGGTGCCATCCCTGTGGGGCTTTCGGTGCCATCCACAACGGGATTTGGGTGCCATCCCCAAGGGACTCCGGGTGCCATCCCTCTGGGGCTTTGGGTGCCATCCCCATGAAGGTCTGGGTGCCATCCCTGTGGGGCTTTCGGTGCCATCCCCATGAAGGTCTGGGTGCCACCCCCAAGGGGCTTTGGGTGCCATCCCCAAGGGGCTTTGGGTGCCATCCCCATGAAGGCCTGGGTGCCATCCCTGTGGGGCTTTCGGTGCCATCCCCATGAAGGTCTGGGTGCCATCCCCAAGGGGCTTTGGGTGCCATCCCCAAGGGGCTTTGGGTGCCATCCCCATGAAGGTCTGGGTGCCATCCCTGTGGGGCTTTCGGTGCCATCCCCATGAAGGTCTGGGTGCCACCCCCAAGGGGCTTTGGGTGCCATCCCCAAGGGGCTTTGGGTGCCATCCCCATGAAGGCCTGGGTGCCATCCCTGTGGGGCTTTCGGTGCCATCCACAACGGGCTTTGGGTGCCATCCCCAAGGGACTCCAGGTGCCATCCCTCTGGGGCTTTGGGTGCCATCCCCATGAAGGTCTGGGTGCCATCCCCGTGGGGCTTTCGGTGCCATCCTCATGAAGGTCTGGGTGCCATCCCCAAGGGGCTTTGGGTGCCACCCCCAAGGAGCTCTGGGTGCCATCCCCACGGCCATTCAGCCCCTGCAATGGAGGGAGACAAGCCAGCTCTGGCAGATGCTCAGGGCTCTGGTCCTGGGGCTGCTCATGGGGGGAGCGAGGCGTTCCCTCCCCTCCCTGCTTTGTCCCCGCACCGGGTGCCAGGACCTTCCACCCTGGGCCCCCATCCCCCCTTGAGCACCCAGAGGACCTTGGGGACTGCCCTGGCTGAGGGGTGCTGCACACCCATCCGGATGCGACACCTCCCCCCCACCCCAAGGGATGCCAGCGCTGCAACCTGGCCCAGGCTACCAACCCCGGGGGTGGAGGGGGGGGACACACACGTGTGCCTCCGAGCTCCGGAACGGGCACGGAGACGGGCCACTTGCGGTGACCCCAAGGGCCACGGGGGACACCTGAGCCTGCTCCGCCTGCCCCGCGCCGGCTCCGGTTACGGCCCGAATTGTTCCTCCCGACTGGAAGAAATGCCGTCAGCGCCGGCGGATCGGTGGCCATTACTAATGCATGATGCTCCAGCGGGAGACGGCTGGGCACCGACCCCCCGCAGCGGGGCTGGGGCCCCCCCCATCTCGAACCACCTGCACCCCCTCGGGGAGGGCAGGAGGGACAAAGCTGGGTTTAGGGAAGGGTCTTGCTTCTTCTTCGCTTCATCCGGGCCCTAAACACCCAACACGGTGGGTCGGGGACTGGTAAAACACACGTGCCCGGCCGGAGCGCGAGCGCCGTGGGGCTGGAGCCACGACTGTGCTACCAAAGGTACCTTGCCCAAAAAGGACCCTGACACCCACCCCACCACATCCCAGGTGACCAGGAGCGGTCCTACAGGGAACATTCACAGCTCGGTGCATGTTTGCTGACAAATATCTCTGCTCCACAACCGGTGGTTCTGACCCATTTGCAACCAGGGAGCTCTTCCCCCCAATCCCACCCCTTAGCTTTGCTCCTTCACGATTTTTACCTCCTTTTCCCAAACTCCTCTCCTTCACCCCCAGATTTTCCTCTCCCCAGCCGAGCGCGGTGATGCCAAACCCAGCAGCTTCCCCCCTCACCCACCCCAGATCAAGATCCCCCATAAAGCCGGGGGTGGTCTGAGCCACCCGGGTGGGATGCTCATCCCTGTGCCTCCCACCTCAGGGTGACACCCTGCTGCTGACCACCTCCCCATCCTGCAGCTTCAGCCCCATTTTTAAGCCAGGATCTTGGGCTGGGGGGTGGATTTTGCCAGTTCCAGCCTCTCCGGGGCCATAAACCGTGCCGGGGAGGGCTCCCCAGCTAATGTACTTCGGTTGCGCTCCCTCATCCCTCCGCATCAATATTGCATTATCGTTTCCATCCCCATCTGAGCCCAGTGAGGAGCCACGGAAAGAAACCCAGCCCTGGCCGAGCCCCCGCACCGAGCGCTGCCAGGTCTCTGTGCCGGCGGGGCGGCTTTGCCCGACCCCCCTCCGCGTTTCCAGAGGCTCTTCCAGGTCCATCCCTATTAAATATTCGGTTGAGGAACAAAAGAAGACGATTTAAATTTTTAAACAGGGCCATTTGCTCTGCTCGGTTTACGCAGGTTGAAGCCTCAACAAAATTTCGGCCATACCATCGCGGAGCCAAAATATTGATGGTGCTGGGGAGAGGGATGAGCCTGGCGCCGAGGGGCCGAATGCCACGCTTGGGTTGGCACCATGCAGGCCATCAAAGTGCCTCCTGGCTTGGGGATCATCCTGGGGTCTCAGGGGCCATCCCTGGGCATGGGGACCATCCCAGGTTCTTCCTTCCTTGGGGACCATCCCAGAGTCTCAGGGGCCATCCCTGGGCATGGGGACCATCCCAGGTTCTTCCTTCCTTGGGGACCATCCCAGAGTCTCAGGGGCCATCCCTGGGCATGGGGACCATCCCAGGTTCTTCCTTCCTTGGGGACCATCCCAGGTGCCTTCTGGCTTGGGGACCATTCTGGGGCCTTGGGGGCCACCCAAGGTGACTCCCTGCTTAGGTACGAGCCTAGGGTCTTAGGGATCATCCCAGGTTCCTTCTTGCTTGAGGATCATTCTGGGGTCTTGAGGCCATCCAAAGTGCCTCCCTGCTTGGCAACCATCCCAGGTCTCAGGGATCATCCCTGAGCATGGGGACCTACCAGGGTGCTTCCCTGTTTGGTGGCCATCCTGGGGTCTTGGGGATCATCCTGGCACCTTTTGGGGTGCTTCCCTTCTTGGGGACCATCTCAGAGTCTCAGGAACCATCCTGGAGTCTCCAGGACCATCCTGGACTGTTGGGGACCAGCCTTGCACCTGGGCACCATCCGAGGTGCTTCCCTGCTTGGGAACCGTCCTGGAGTC